CGGAGAGAAAGGAATCGTGCGAGCGCTCACATTTTTTTCCTCCCAAGGATCTCATCTGGCCGCCGCGTTCTGGAAGAAGAGAGGGGGAGAGCGCGCGCGAGAGGAGAACAGAGACGGCGGTGGAAAGGGAGACGGCGAGACGCGCAGCGCCGGCGCCCCGGAGACCCAGGAGGAGCCCGCAGGTATTGTTGGTGGCGGAGCTTTGTGTCCTCGGTAGGCCGTTCTGGGCGCGAGGGCTCCCTGAATCCTTGGCCCGCCGCCGTGCTCAGACCTGCCCGGAGTCCTGGGTTGCAGACTAGGGTCGCCACCCGCCGCGGCCACCCCTCCCGCCGCGCCGCGATCTTGGCTGGAGTTGCGGATTTGCCTGATTTGGGGTTTTCCACGCTGGTGAAGGGAATCGGTCTCAGGAGAAGGAATTTCTTTTTTTCCTTTAAAAAAATTTTTTTGGCCGCAGTTTGGTTGTGCTGGGGATTCCCCCCTCCCTTTTTCTCCACAATGCATTGGTGAGCGGTCTTGGCGACAGTGGCCCAGGCGGAAGGCTTGGGGCCGAGATGGCGGGGCTGGTGGCCGCGGAATGGGAGGTGAGGAATGCTGGAGAAGGAAGGAGTTCTGTTCAAGTTCGCCATCTGCGCCCCGGAGCTGGTCGGGCCAGGGAGGGCGGTCCGCGCACCCGGTCCTGCTCCGGGCAACCGGTGGGAAACTTCCCGGGAGCGCGGCCTCCCGGGGGACTCGGCGCCCCCGACGTCTCCCGGCGCTACCTCCGGCCGCCGGGGCCCCTCCTTGCCGCCCTCAAGTGTTTAAGGTCGCGCTTTCCCCACCCCCACCTTCCTCCCTCCCCCAGCGGCTTCCGGATCTGGACAGAGCAGCTTCAAACACTTCCCCCGGAGACCCCTCCCCATTGCCCGCACAGAGCTTTCCCGGACCCCCCCTGCCCTGCGTCCCCGTCTCGCGCGCGGCGGAGTGGCCCGGCTGACAATGAAATCTCGCGCCTCTGCCGTGGGGGGGGGAGAGGGGGTCGTGGCTCAGTCCCTCCTGGGGCCGCTGACCCTGGGCCCCGGGCAGGGGGAGGGGGAACACTCTGGGAAGGGTCTTGTTTAGGTTGGAGACGTTGACGTGGGATGGCGCCAGGGCTGGGGGCACGCGGGGGAGGCGAGGGGCTGGGGTGAGCTGCCGGGGGTCGTTGGATTCTCGACCCGCTAGGGCATGGCGATTGGCAGTTGCCCTGGGGCACGTCGAGGGCCCCCTCTAACCTCAGCCTCCTCCCCTCCTGTACAATGCGGGTTTAGAGAGGTGATCCCGAGGGTGATGTGCTGGTGTGACGAAGTGTTTGTCTCCTGCGATCCACAGCAGACACGGCTGCTCTGATGACCCGGAGATCCGGAGGCCTGTGCCCCTCCCTCGGGGGTGGGCAGATGAAGGGGGAGGGCAGTGGTGGGAACAACTTTTTTTTTTTCCCCACTGGGGTCATGGGAAGGGAGGGTTAAGTCAGAGAATTTCTGGGGACCGCAGTCATGAAGCGGGGGCACGGATTTAAGGGGGGGGGTCTGCCGGATCAGAGCCTTCTTGGCACTCCAATCTCCTAGATCCTTTTGCTTCTTTAGGGGTGAACGAGTGAGGGAGGTGTAGAGGTGTGGGGTAGCTGGACATGGGGGAGGGGTTCATGAAAATCAACCTTAATTGGATTCCCAGGCAGGCTGCCCAGGGGGTCTGGGTGACTCCTCCCCTTTCTTTTTCCGGGGGGTGGGGAGCCAAATCCAGAGACCTCAAGCTCTCAGTCCAGGCTGGTGAGAACCATTTTCTTCCTACCTAAAAAGAAGATTCCTGGGGGAGTTGGGAGGCATCCTGGAGGGCAGGGGGCTGGACTGTGTTCAGCCTGTTCTCTCCTTCAGTCCAGGAATAGAAGGAGTTAACCCTCCCCCAGAAATCTGTCAGCCCCCCACACAGCAGGGACACATTGTTGGACCCTCTGACATGCTAACAGTGTGACACAGGCTGACAGGAGTGAGCAGATTCCAGACCCTGTGTTCCCCCTTCACAGCAGCCAAACAGGACCTGGCCCGGTGGTTCCTTGTTGGGGGACTTTGAGGGAGAGCCTCTCACAGCCAGGCTTTGGACTTGTGGTCCAGAGGGAAAAGGGGGTCACCCGCCAGGTCCCCTGGGAGCTGAAAGGGTGACGGGGAATGTGAGGTGGAGGAAGAGAGAAGCCCCTTCAACCTTTTGGCTAGGTTCTGAGGGCTTCTGGACCAGTGGGCTCCTTTGCTAATAACTGCTCAGCTCCCTACCCCTGCCCTCACCACCATCGGAAGGCCTGGCCCTGAAGGGTAACTTTCTGACCCCTTGGTTGGACTGAGACCCTAGCAGTGGAGGGGTAGCTGGGGGAGGGTGGCCGGACGCAGGATTGATAGCTGCCCATTCCTTGGCCCTGGGGCACAAGCCCTTTTAGCCTGGGTTTATGGTTGCCACCTTCCCTTCTCCTGGAGGGTAATCTCCATTTCCTGGAGGTGAAAGCAGTTCGCTGAGAGCCCCCCCAGGGCCATGCACGCTGCGGACACTCACAGTGTCCTGTGTTTGGCAGGAGTGAATGGATGGGTACCGAATGAATGAATCGATGAATGAAAAGGCAAAGTTTTCTCAATCGGAGGCATCTAGTCATTGTTTAGAGAAAAGAAGTGTTTTTTGGATTTGTGTGTTTTAAAATGGGGTTCCCAGAGAACCTGAAAAATGGAGAGAAACAAACAAAAAGGGTTATTGACAGCCCTAGCGGGCTCCAGCGACGCTAACGTTTTGATGTGAGTCTTCCCAGGCCAGTTGGACGTGGTGGTTGGTCGGTTTTTTAAGGGCTGTGTCGTCATTCCCTATATTCACATGTATATCCTGCCTTTTTTTTTTTTTTTTTTTTTTGCTGGTGACAGCACCAGCCTTTTCCTGTTTTGTAACCAACTCTTCATAAACACCACGGCTAATGTCTTCAGGCTTTTCCAGTCGAGTGGATGTACCATAATTTACTTAATATTCCCCTTTTGTTCAACATTCTGGATGCTCCTGACGAATGAGGTCGTGGATGTGTTTTGTAAGGGAGCCTTTCCTTATACTGAAGACGATTTCCTCAAAATGCTGTGCTTCTGGTGCCCACAGCTCTGACAGGCCTGCAGTGCCAGGAAGGAGAGCGCCTCTCTTTTTTCCCAGGATAAGTGGGACACCGTTCTTCCTTCCCCACAATCTAGAAACTTCCACCCGAGCCCAAAAAGGAGCATTGGCGATGAAATCACCTGTCCGACTTCCCTCCTTTGACCGAGGAGGAAACCAGAACTCAGAGAGGGGAAGTGAGTCCCCAAGGTCACACAGCAGTCACTGGGCTGTGCAGCAGTAGCCAAGAGCCAGAGACTAATCTGCCTTTTTTTTTTTTGCCTCTGCAAATGGTCCCTGGTGGTCCTCTAGTCGGACCATGCCCATTTCACAGAGAGGGGAACTGAGACCTCAAGGGAGGAAAAGCACCAGCTGATTCTTAGCGGTGCCAAGGCATTCTGTGTCATATGCACTTCTGTGTCCTTAGACCTGGGGCCACCCATGGGCTTCCTGTCTCTTTTCACGGCTCCCTTTGCCATTCCATTTTCCATTTCTCCCCCCGCCCCTTTCTTAGTGGAGCTGGGGGTCAAGCCTGATCAGTGTGCATGTTAGGCCAGGGCTCTACCTGACCTCCATCCCCAGCCCTTGCCATCCCCGTTTCCAGAGGGAAGAGCTGAGGACCCAGAGTAGGTGCAGTGAGAGGGGGTGGGCTGCAGTTTCCAAGGGACCCTGGTGGTGCCTCTTGTGCCTCAGTTTACTTGTTCAGGAGCCAGGGGCAGGTGTTGGCACAGACCCTGTGTGTGTGGTGTAGGGGAGTGGGGAAGGACCCGGAGCATCTTGGACTCTTCTTCAAGCCTGTGATTGAACCCTGAGTCCCCCCTGGGGAAGAAGGCAGGAAGGAGAGGAGGACTTGGAGAAAGGTAGACAGAAAGAGATTCAAATGCTGGAAGGAAGAAAGTGGGGGAAGGAGAAAG